AAGACATTATATCTGTTTTATTTGCATATTAGTTTGTTTTGGATTGGTTGTTTCGGGTTTTAATATCGTCCAATTATATATCTATATTATAAATATTGTCTTTTTGGTTAAATTGCGATTTTGTCTCATATATCTGTTTTTTTTGTCATCCACACGACATGGAAACACGTAAGATGAAAGTATATTGCTGTCAATACCACTAAGAGTATTGAGACAATCCCAAATCTCCTTTTAGTCTCAATATGGGTTGTGAAAAGGCTCATTTCGAGAAGCAAATTCTCGACTTGTATAACGAAATCTCCAATCTCGAGAGCCCTTAAACCTTTCACATATATATGTCGACAATTTGTTCAATAGCTCTGCCTATGGATACAAAAATCGACGTTAAAAACTTGTGCCCAAAAGTCCAAAACTACAGAATCAATCTCACCAACCTACGTAGTGAAGATATAGAGTTTTCAGAGCACCACTACTATACGGCCTTAGGATCTCTCGAAGACAACACATTTCACCATTTAGATCTATCCTCAGTACACTAACTACCTCAAACTTAGCAAGGTTGAGTTCAATCTCTTCACGCTACACACAAGCCATGTCCAAACCATGATCGCGTTCATGGGCTCCGGTACGTTGCCCTTCACATCCATCATCTTAGATACGTCCCACCGCTCTAATAACGACGTTCCAGAACTTTGATATCGACCCTCGAGCTAATTCACTTGCCTCCGAATTTGTCTCATGCGATATTGAACTTTGTAGTTTTAAAGTATCTCGTGTGTTTTATAATTGAAGTAAATAAGGTAAACAATTGTTGAAGTAAATAAGGTAATATATTGTGAGAAGGTAGTAAATAAGGTAATAAATTGTGAGAAGGTAATAAATAAGGTAATAAATTGTGAGAAGGTGGTGTGAAAACATTTAATGCAAAATGCTTCTCTTTTAATATATAAGGGATGTTATTATCATTATATATGACATCAAATCATGAAAATTTAATGAAAAACACAAAATTTTATCTATTTAATTACTAAACAATATTGTAACTATATTATTACTTTTTAAAAATAAAATAATAACTATTTATTCTATTACATGAACATGACCTATGAATATATATATATATATATGGACTAACTATTTTAATAGAATAGATTAACAAAAACACAAAAATTAAATTTTTATAAAAATGTAATACAAAAAAATACATCCACCCTTTTAAGAACGACTCAAAATCTAGTGTTAGTTTAAAATTTGATGTGATCTCCAATCGCAATTTACGCTGTTCAAATCCTTCTCAACAATTTTAAAATTATAATTTTTTTTTGTTTTGTCTACAATTTTAAATTTATAATCGTTCAAAACTTTATCATGAGTACAAATTAACAGTATATGATGCTTTTCTCAATGACAATTAAACGAGCAAGTCCTAGATCCATAGTCTTGCATTTGCGAATATAAAGAAGACTTAGAGCACCTCCATTAGGAGATTTAAGGGGGGGTTCACACGTTTACCGAGGAAACAGTGATGAACTCGGCGCGCGTGGATTCGTCGTGGTGAACCCGGTTTGTCACGAATTCGCCACGTGGCGGGCCGTGATTCGCCAATTTTTATTATTTTTTTTTTTTTGAAAAAGTAAACGAAAAAAAAAAAAAAAAAGCAGCTGGCAAACCCCAGCTCAGTATCACTGGTGGGGATGCTCTTACATTACTCATTTGACAGCAAATAGCCATATTTAAAAAAACAAACAATAATCTACTAATCCACGTTCACATAACACTGATATGACTGATCTAATGATTTCAATTTTCTTTTGACAAATCTCATTATCTAAAAACAAGCTGATGCTATTGCTACCTCTTCTCTTTCCATTTCGAATTTTACAAATTGGAAACTGCTGAAATATAATAAAAACAAATGTTTTTCTTTATTCCAATTATCGAGTAGAATTAGAACAAAGAAAAAAACAAAAAAAATCTAGGAGTTAGGCGTGAGATGCGGAAACGAACAAGACGAACACCTAACGAGCCCGTTCTCGTTACAACTCAAGCACGTTCTGAACCCTAACTTCTCCGTGTGCACCTTTCGACTACCGTGACATACTTTACACGGAACGAACCTGTAACCGCCACACATCTCACACACACGTGGCTCAACCCTCGGCAACTCTTGCACGAGCTTCTTCAGCTCTCCGATCTCGTGAAGCTGCTTCACCTCCTCCGCTCCTCCCACGAACCGCCCGCCGATAAACACGCGCGGCAGCTTCGGCGTCTTCGGAAGATCCTTCTCGCCGCCGAAGATCCGCTCAAGCTCTGACGCGAATGAAGCGTCCATCGAGAGATCTCGCTCGTCGATCCGCACGGGGAAGCTGCGGAGGATCGTCGTGACGGCTCGGCAGGCTTCGAACGTTGGACGGACCACGCGGAGGCTGGTGAAGTAGACGACGATGCTGATGTCCGCGCCGGGGAGAGATATCCGTACGGCGTCGGCTTTGGATTGCTTCGGTTCTGGTTCCGGATTGCGGCGGAGATTGACGGGCGCGGAGTCTGCGCGGAGGAGGTGGTTAGAAGACGGACGAGTTGGCCAGGATCTGAGGATCAGATTCGAAGCGCATACTCGGCGGAAAACTCTGGAGACGCGATTATGTGAGGGAGAAGAAGGATTATAAGGAGAAGAAGGTGAGGAAGAGGAATCGTCGGCGCAGAGGTGGTGTATATCTTTGAAAGATAAGGAGGCGGTGGCGGTGGGAGAGTATGTGTCGTGGATCTTAACCGACGATGTGCGCCACGGACGCCACATTGACGGTGTAGATAAGTTGAGATTTTAGGGTTTGTGTTGATTTGGATTTGCAGAGAAAATGGAGTTTTGCAGAGAGAGAGAGAGAGTATTGTTGGTTTTGGTTAAAACAAGAGTGGTTGTGATAAAAAAAATGGTGATTTCTAACGTTACCAATTATATATTGGGTGGAAGAAAGTAAATTCTAATTATAGTTTGTATTCTTTGTTCAACCCCCTTTATACATTTCCCAAAATGTGTAGTTTGAACTTTGAACACACATATTAAGAGATAATCAGGAATTAATGATACATGATGGTAGTGTATCTCTTTATTCATAAAGTTTGTTTTCATCAGGCTCTTTGGTACTCTACTTGTATATGGAAACTTGATTTTTTTAACCTTTCACCAGATTAAGAAAATAAATATTTTTTGGGGGGTTTACTAATAAAGTTTCACTACTCATATTTTACGTTTTAGTTCAAATTTTACTTTTAAAAACAAATATTATTGTGTATTTTTTAAATCTGGAAATTACATCTTAACAATAATAGATCATATCATCGGAACAATAAAACACGATGTACTAAATTAAGTTGTTATGGATGTTACATCTAATTGTAGGCACTTATAATGTCATATAATTTAAAGTTTTAAGAGGCGGAACACAATTATATACATTGTATTTGATATCATTTTTAATTTGTATTCTGTAAACATAATATTATCTCTAATAATAAAATATTTATTTATTTGTAAGTACACTTAAGTTCAGTTGATGAACCACTTAAACCGTTATGTCTTTGTTACTTTGTTTTATCTATTTCTTTTTGTATATATTACAACAAATGCATTAATTATACTTTAAAATATTAATTTTCAATTAAAAAGGCTAAAACATTAATTATTCAAATACGGAGAAAGTATAAAATTGTGAGTAGTACAAGTTACATTAATTCTGATTAATGTTTTTTCATTTTGATAAGACTTATTTGGGTTCACCTCTTAATGTGAATTTATAAGTTATTAACTAATAGAATCACATTACTATATATTTAATATCTTATAAGAAAGGAAATAAATTATTGTCGAATTATTTTATGTTGTTAAAATAAAAAATAAAAATAAATAAATAATAGAAATAGTTGAAAAAAATATTTTAAAACATTTTAACACCGTCAACAAGACACTAAATCTTAAATCCTAAATCCTTAACTAAAAATCTTAATGTTTTGTTGACAGAATTAAAAATATTTTTTAATAAGAGTTTCAAATATTATTATTTTTATTTATTTTTATGTTTTAAAACTATAATATAATTTAATAATCTTTTTAAAAGGATATTAAATATATAATAATAAAATTATATTGATTGGTTAGGTTCACTATAGAAGGTGAATCCAATAATAATTCATTTGGCAATAACATTGAAACTTTCCTAAAAGTAAAACTTGCGGGTTTAAACAGAATTTGGTAGCTAAAAAACTGTATATTATCAATATTTTGATTATATGTTAAAGCTTTTCTTTTCGAACAACTGATTATATACTTTTGCCTCTTTTGTTTTAAGAAAGACCTTTTGCCATTTTCTAGATTGTGAATTTGTACTTTTAGGCAATGTTTTTTTTTTTTTTGTTACCTTAACTTGCTTTACACAATAGAATATTTAAAAACGTGACTTTAATTTATAGTATCTAATACTCCCTCTGTTTTAATATAAGTGTCACTCTATAGCTATGCACACGGATTAAGGAAACAATTAATTTTACATATTTCCTATATAAAAACACAATTACCCACACACCTAACCATATTTTAACCAATAGAAAAACAAATTACATAATAAAATTAATAAATTTTGCATTGAAAACTGAAAACGACACTTATTTTGTAACACAAAAAATTCTCTACAACGACACTTAATATAAAACGGAGGGAGTAATGATTAAGACTGGTTGATCACAAAAAGGAATGAAAGGGTGTAGATCAATCTTCATTTCAGTTCTTACCCGAAAGCAAAACACAACAGTTTCAGCAACTGTTTGTTATTCTTTTCTAAATTGATTTTGATTTCTATAAATTTGCACAAGTCCCCTAATGAGATTTCAGGAACAAGAGAATAAAGAACATTAAAAATATGCACAAGTCAAACTGGAAACTGGCAATGGGCCTTGGCGATGGTCAATGGCGATGGTTAGTGAAATTTATATGTTCATAAAATATATATAAATAAATTGTAAGAAATATAAATAACACAGCTGTATTAAACTTCTCCATCATTTTACGGTATCATATAAAAACGTTAAAATCGTATATCTTATAACATTTCCAAAAGACTCTCTATATTATCAAATATAGAGTTTTTTATTCTTCAATTTTTTTTAAAAAAAATTAAAATTTAAAATTTAAAATTTTGAGGAGCCAAAACTTCAAATTTGAAGTTTCATCTTTTTATTTACAATTTGATCCTTATATTTACATATCTTATTTATGATTCTTAAGTTTTTTTTTGTTATCATTTTAATCTTAAAAAAAATTATATCTCACAAATCTTCAAATTTATTTTTATAAATTAAGTTTCACATAAAATTAAATGAAAAAAATTCAAATAAGATTTATATTATTTTAAAACTAGAATTAGACAACAAAAATATTACAAAACAAACTTAACTAAATCTTTTTTTTTAACATCGATCTACAGACTTATCTAGATTCTATGAACCAAACTGGTACCTCTGTATCCATGTGAACAACGAAAGACGGTTGTATTCGGAATTCGTGCTAAACTATCCGCCCGTGAGTTCAGTGTTCTTGGTACATAGATTATTGTCGAGTTGTTGAAGCTTCCTTGAATCGTCTTGATATCGTGGAGATAACTTGCAAAAACTGGCCATTCTTCTGGTTCTGAAACCATCTTCACCAGTTGAGAACAATCCATTGCAAATGTAACATAATATTGACGTAAATTCTTCATACTCTCCATTCGCCAAATGAGTGCCTCCACCTCTGAATGGAGAGGTGATATGTTGCCTCTAACATTTCTTACGTCCATTAAACCTATAAAACCCTCAAGCATACTATACCAACCTTGCCCAGCAAACTGATCATGTGCTTGCCATGAAAAATCCACAAAACACCATCTTCCTAGAATGACTGGTAAGGTAGTGTCTGCCGATTGTTGAATTACGCTCTGATCCGCCTTTACTTGTGCCGGTTGTTGATTATGTTTCTGCCAACATAAGTGTATTCTTTGGATCAATATCCAAATTACTAAATATTTTACTGTTACGCGCTTTCCAACTGTACCACAATATCTATGCGAAATGATGATCTTCCATCTTTGATATAACTCGCCAAAATAAATAATCCATGTTCGTGAACAACGAAGCCGAAGGAAATAGGTTTAGATTGGAAGGAACTTTTAAAAGTGCCCAGACTTGACGTATTGGAGGACATTCAAAAACACATGGTTCATTGTTTCCTCTGCAGCTCCACATCTGTTACCACCTATGTCTCATTTTATCCCTTTTGCCTGCAAATTTTTCTGTACTGCAATGCAACCCGATAATAATTACCACAAAAAGTGATTCATCTTAGAAGGACACCGAATTTTTCAACAAAAAGCTTTCAATACATCCATTGTGGGTCCATAAAACTCATTCGGTCGTGCTCTATCCGAGTAGACCCTTTCTATCTGATATCCTGACCGAACCGTAAATTTTTCGTTCTTAGTAAAATGTCAGCCATCCCTATCTTCCAGTTGTGTCCTGCTAAGAGGTATGCTTTCTATTATTTTCGTATCCTGAGGGTCTACTAGATCCCGTATAACCGGCATATTCCAACTTCGCGTATCTGCATTGATGAGATAATCCACTGTTATATCCAGAGAAAAATAATATTGATTTTATTTGCTTGTCTCGGGTGAGTGGTTGGGAGCCATGGATCATTCCATACATAGATAGATGATCTTGATCGCACTTGTTTAATAAGTCATTTGCTAATCATAGATCTAGCGAAAATCATACTTCTCCATCCATATGATGGGGAATATGATCGGATCGGTTCCAAAGGTGACACATTCCTATAGTACCGACCTTTAAAAACACTAGAAAACAAAGTATTTGGTTTCTCAATGAGGCGCCATAATTGTTTACCAAACAATGTCGTATTAAAATCCTTAAGGTCCTTAAACCCTAACCACCATCATCCTTATCAAGACATAATATATCCCATGATTTCCAATGCATTCCTCTTGTATTACCGCTAGGGCTCCACCAGAATTGTGCTACTGCACCAGTAAGCTTCTTTGTAGTAGCCTTAGGTAATCTATAGAATGACATCACATGATTTGGTAAAACCGTAACAACAGATTTAATAATCACTTCTTCCCCCCCCCTTTTGTAAAAAATCGAAAAATCCAGCCATTAACCCTCTTATTTAATATCTCCTGCACAAATCCAAATACCCGAATCTTCGACCAAGTCAAACTTTTTGGGAGGTCTAGATATGACCCCATACCACCAAGATTTTGGATGCCTAGGATATCCCCCAACTCCTGTCTATTTCCTTCTCTAATCTTATGTCCGAACTGAATTGAAGATTTCTGGAAGTTAATCAATTGACCTGAAACTATCTCATATTCCTTAATTATATTACGAATGGTTTGACAATCCTCCGGTTGCGCATTACAAAAAAAACAGACTATCATCCGCAAAAAAAATGTGGGAAATAGCCGGACACATTCTTGCCGCTTTCATTCCTGGTAATCTTTTTTGTCGTTCCGTCTTTTTAATATTTGATATCAAAGCCTCCGTACACATAATAAATAAATACAGAGATAAAGGGTCCCCTTTAAGCCTCTATGCGGGATAATGCAACCTCGAGGCTGACCATTAATCAAAACTCGATACCGAACAGACGACATACATTCCATTATGAGCTTTGTCCAATGTGGATCAAAACCCATTTTATGAAGTAAGGCTTGAATAAAATTTCATTCCACCCTGTCATACGTATTACTCATATCCATTTTTATTCCCATAAATTTCCCTTGAAAAGATTTATTAGCCCTCAATCAATGAAACATCTCCTGAGAAATTAAGATGTTATCCGAAATTAAATGTCC